ATGACGGCCTTCTCTAACCGAGCCATTCTTCTCTTTGCGTGTTGTGTATGTGTGTCGTCATGTTACCGCTGTGGTATTCTCATTGTTGCTGCTGCTGTCTATGCTGACACTCTGGGGACAGGCACAGACTGTGGCTGTTGGGAATGAAAGCGTTGAGTCCGTACGGCGCATGAATGGCTTGCGGAGCAAAGAGTCATCAGCTTACGGGACAGTGAATCAGATCGGCAATTCAAGTTTGAGGGTAAAACTGCAGTGGGAAAGAGAAAGCAAGAGAATTTTAGTATGTGCAACGATGCCATAAATCAGCAAAATGGACAATTTTGATGGCATCACTGGTAGTCTCTTGCATTCTCTTTGCTAAATGTCCCCACAAAATACACAGTACTGTCCTCAGCATGAACAGCAGCTTCATGTTGTACATTCTTGTGGCCCATCCTTATGCTTGCTTTTTACTGAGGTTGGCTTGTGCTACCCCTATGCCAAAACTCGCAAGGAAAGTGCATGTATATTCAGAAGCTTGGTCCTGTAAAAATATAGAGTGAATAGGGTGGGGGGACAGGACGACAGGAGATGCCCTAAGATAGTAAATCCCATATTGTGTCATCTTTCAGATGAGCACATTCCAGCAAAATTTAGTATGTATAATGAAATGTATTTTTATTGGTGTGGTATTTACTCCTGAACTGTCAACCTGCAGTGTTAGTCATCGTGATATCTTGAGCCCTGCTTAGTGGAGTATGAACAACTATGAATGAAAAAATGCATTTCATTGGTTTCTTTTTATTTGCTTGGAGAAGAATCATGAAGCTGAAATCTTTTACAGAATGTAACATGTAGCAGATTAGAAGCAATATGATATCAGCTGATAGATCCAGATTATGGGTGAGTTGTGGAGGTTATAAAGTCAGTGATGGAGAGAGAAATGAGCTTAGTGTGCAGCTCACTGCTTGCCACTAGCGGCTGAGAAATGAAATGTGTTCATTTAAATAAAATGAGACTGAGATCTTAATCTTTCAGGACCCAATTTCGCAGAACAGAAACGTTGCTTGAGCAACTTTTGAGTTGTAATGGGCCTCTGACTTTGATCAAGCCCTGTGAAGTCATGTGATTATAAGATGCAGATGATTTAAATGGATTTTATACACTGTAAAAGGAATTAGTAGCTTCCAAAATCAAAGCAAAAACCACAGTTCATGTTACACAGCAAAATTAAGATAGAAGGTTTGCAATGCACTAAATTGTTCACTTTCAGAGCTACAATATCAAGCAGTAGAAAAGAGCCTTAATTTCTGGATACTTTCTATTGTAGAAATAATCATATTTACACATACACAGAAACTGAATACAAAAAGAAAAAAATCAAGGTTTCTCTAGAAGATATGACCAATATTACTATGCTGCCACTGAAAAGCTGATGCCTTACAACTACAGAAGCAGTCCAAGTAACTACTCAGCTTTGCATGTCTTATCAGTCCCAAAGTGCTGGTAGTCCAGCTAAAGTTCATGTAAGTCCCTGTTATCCTCTCTTTAAGGGAAGCTTGCAGAAACATCTCTTGTACTTTTGAATATTGTGTATTACATAGACAGCCAGGACAGTACACAGAGGGGCCACGTCGCTGCAGAGCTTTTGCTGCAGAACCCTAAGAGCTGGAGCTGCACTGGCATGGGTTTCCCCTGGAGAACTTCCATCACATAAGTGATGCACACTTGAGAGGTCAACAGAGGAGACATAGCAAGGCAGAGGTTTCTGGAGCAATGCTACCATGGCTCCAGCCTGGTACTTTTCTGCTCAAAAGAAGGATGTTTATGTGCAGAAGAGAACATATCAACATAGCCTCTGGTGCTGCAAGGAGCCTTGCAAGCAGGGAGCTTGACTTGCTAAGGTATTGCTCACTGAACCAAGGTTTATGCTGAATGCAAATCTAAAAGTCATGGTCAAGAGAAGGCAGTGTAAGAGTGTGTTTTTGTATCTATACTGCATCACTCAGTGCTAATCTAAGGGGAGAAAAAAAAAGGTGCCAAATCACACCTGACCAGGATTCCTGGATTTAGCAGGATCAGTTGAAAGAAAATAACTTCTTTTTAAAATATGTTTTTTAATAACCAAACAAGATTTGCTTATTTTTCAAAATTATGGGTTTCCAGGGAAGCAGAACTGTTTACACAGGTTCAGTCATCCCTTTTTGAAAACAATAATTATTATGTTGTATGATCAGTAGTCAAAATGAGTCACGGTACACTAGTATTCATACCATCATTTCAAAGATGACTTCCTAAATTATATGTGTGATGGTTACCACTGCGACCAAGAATAGGGGTTAAGTTTGGGACCGTTAGTGTTAAAAGCAATACTTTATAGCTTGAATGAAAAACTGTGCAGCTGGAAGCAGTGACAGATTTAATCCCATGTGCAGGGAACACAGAGCAATACAAATAACAATGCTGCAGACAAGGGGGTTCACATGCATGCAGATCAGCAAAGGGAGGCACAAATGGTGTTTTCAAATGAAGGAGCTGGGACTGGGACTAAGTGATTACAGGACCAAAGGATAACTCCACTGAGCAAAGATGGGAGAACCTGGTCAAGTGCTTCAGAGAATTGTTGGTCTTTGGATGGAGCTGCCAGTGTTGAGGCAGGTACCACAAGTGTCCAAACAAAGTTACTGAGATTCTCAAGATAATACAGTATTTCCATCTTTAAATAGAGACATGCACTGAGTAACAGCAGCTTCAATAGGCCATGTCTATAATTTTATTCATACCAAAATCCCTCTGTCAGATCCCCCAAATAATTTTCTAAGATTTTCTAGACTTTCCCATTGAAAAAAAAATCAGTGCCTTCAGCCTGACTTTGCCTTTAAAACACTTGGCACTACTATCCCTGGTGGGAATGTTTGCCTGCTAGCATCCATGTGCACCGCATTCGGCGGGATGCTGTGTACGCTGTGCGTTATGTAAGGTGCCGCATCATGTGAATAATGGAAGTGCTCAAGGAAAGCCCTTTTGCAGAGCTATTTTTGGTACTCACTGAGCAAGCTCAAACATGAGTTTCATTGTGAAAATAGGAATCAGAGTCTGAATGGCTTTTTCTCTCTCTCATCTTGCTTACTTAATGGATTAAAGAGCATGTAGCTTCTGCTGTAGATAAACACCCTCAAGATACTGTGGTTACTTTTTTATTTCTCCAGGGCAATTGCATTAGCACTTCATTGTAAATCCAGTAGAAATAAAAACACTGAAATGATCATTTAGCTTGAAGGTACAGTCCCACATACAACTGCAGCAAATATTTAAATGCAGTTAAACAACAGGCAGAATTCGCTGCAACATGTTGCCATGTCACTTCGTGACTTCAATTTCATGTCGTTGTCTGTCTTTTTATTGTGAGCATGAATAGGCTGGGAATGGCCCTAGTTAACATCAGTCGGTGTATCTGTATTGTTTATTAAATGGACATACAACATTTACTTTAAGCATTTAAATAAAAGCATCATCTCAGACTTGAAAAGCATCTTGATATAAATCCTTAGTCTAGCTCTAGGCACAGTCTAAACAGAGACATGAGTGCCCAAAGAAAGAGCAACCTACTGGAAAAGAAACAGTTCAGCCATGAGGTGGTATCCAAGCAATGGATCAAAAAATTCTGGTAGGAGCAGTCTGTCCAGATGGACAGACTAAGCTTACTGGAAATGTAGATTTTTCAGTGAAAAGCAAACATGGACAAAGAAACAGTGGAAGAGAGAAATCAGTTCTTATGGGGGCCTGTTTGCAAGTGTCATGGAAAGTGAAATGGAAGTTTTTCCTCCCTTATTAGAGAAGGGAACATTAGTTAAAAACTCTAAACAAGTAACCGTGTTTCATGTGTTTTACAGACAGACACAAGATAATGAACTGTATGGGGTAGATTTTTCACCCCAAACCAAGAAACAGAAAAGAATAACAGTAGTTTCATTTCAAGGGAGAGAATTCTGAAAATCAAACAAAATCCACAGTACATTAAACATTCTGTAATCAAAAGCAAACTAATATATGGAACATGCAATACCAGTTCCTGAGAGAGACCTCCAAATGTCAAGTCCCAAATATCTAAACAATAATTAAAGCTGCTAGAGTTCAAGTGCACAAGCTGGATTAAGGGAATCCAGGTGCTAGAGTAGAGGCAAAGCCAAGAGAACAAAAGCAGCAGAAAATATTAGAATTTCTGTGGGGTAAAAAAACCCCAAATAAACAACAGCAAACCAAACAAAAAGAAGCCACAGACAAAAAAAAAAACCTGAATAAACAAAACCGCACAAAAATTGATAATAGAGAAACCATGCCTGTCTAGAGGTGGTGGAAAACAACAAGAAATACTCTGTGGGACAGGGGGCAGATATTCAAACTGTGGGGACCATGCATGGCACCAAAGCAGCAAGCAGGACATGATACATTGTAATGACTCACATTGGCAGCTTGCAAATACTTAAGAAAATTATTCCTTAAGGTTAAATAAGATAGGAACAGGATATAAGCTACAGAACAGCAATACTGCAGTATTTCTGACCTGGGATGATGACGTGACTGTCTGCTGGATCACCCAGGACAGGTAGGACTGAAAAAGTAAGAAGGAATACTTGAGAAAGTTTTTTTCTTTGCTTGGTAGTGGAACTTTGCTTCAGAAACTTCGAGTCCTCTCTTGTACCTACCCAGCACACAGTGGATGAAGATCAGCTCTGAACTGACAGGCCTTAGGGACTGAAGTTTGCACTTCACTCGAGTGAGTTTGCCCTGGTAGTTACTCATGAACAGCAGGAGGCACGCCAGAAATGAACTCTGCAGTTTTCCAGCTCATGAAAGGTATTCTCCAGCTGGGTGCAAATGTCTTATTTCTTATTATACCTAGGGGAGAGTGCAAACTGAAAATAGGGCAGAGGAAGTTAGAAAGAGACAGGAAATAGTGTTCTTATTTTTGATGCTCTAAAGTAACAAGAAGTAGCTTTTCAAGAACCATCTGTCATAGGCACAAACTTTTGTTTTCCAGATTCTTTTAGGAAATGTTGATTCTTTCATTGGATATGTTTTGGCCAACCTCATTTCATGAGGAAAAAAAAAAACTGTGAAAAAATTGTCAGATAGGTATTTAATGATAAAAAAATGAAGAATGGAGACTTCAGGAGGAGTATGTTTAAACTAAACTGCCCCTATCCAAAACTCCAGAAAGAGAGTGAAAAGCCATCACAATCACAGGATATAGGGTTAGGCTGCTCAAGAGGTCAAGGAAACAACTTTGCCTCTTTCATATTGTCTCCATTCTTTCATTGTAGGTAGCTTACTTTTACTCTTTCCCTGCCCAGAGTCAGGACCCAATAAGGCCCTGGTATCAGGGTTTCTCACTGCTATGTTGGCCAGGTCCTCTTTCCAATAGAGGAGGTGAAGACACCAGGAGAACTGTTTCTGATCCACTGTTGCCAGGGGTCTGTCATAATGCTTCATATCAGTTCTGAGTTCTGTCCCAAGCCTTATTTTCAACAGCAAAGTATTTCAGTGTTAGTGAATATAAATTAGTATTTCTGCAAGTGAACGAAAGGGTCAAGCAGTTAGAGCCAAGCGTAATGCAGGCTGAGAATACCAGCACTCCTGTATCCGTGTATTTCTACCCTGACTGGCAACCGTGCTCACTCTGTGGGTCTCCAGAGCATACTACACCAGTTGTATCAAATTACATGGTAAATTGGTGAGATGGGCAAGTGTTCAGTAGGATCCATGAAATGCATATTTACATCTGACCCAATTAATCCCGTTCTCCACAGGGGATAGAAGCTGCTATTTGAATGTAATTAATTGTGAAGCATTCTGTAATGATGTTGTCCAAATGACATTGTGAAAAACCAAATTGTATTAACTAGACTGTTGAAACCTCATGCTCTCCCAGGGTCTGAAAAACTTCATGAGTTCCAGTAAAATCCAGTTTTTATAGTACTTTTGAAAAGGTGGTGTTGAAGCCATTTGTTTCTCTATTTATTCCTGAGGGAAAACAACATTGTTTATAGTCGTTCCTGTTCAAGTTGACAGTCATTGCTTATGGCTGATTCTGACACGTTTGGCTTGATTTAATGATCAGACACATTTATTTCTCTTGATCCACTGCTAGAGAAAGATGCTATTTATTGTAAATATGATAATCCGTGGTTGGGTATTTCTCTAGAGGCCTGATATTTTAATTATTTTGTTTTGTTTGGGTTTTTTGCTTAGCTTTTTTTTGTTTGTTTTTGCAGTAATAGAAATTACACTGGAAGGAACAAGCATCTTGAAACTTTTCATATTTTGAGCACTTGTTGCTGAGTGTTCCCAGAGTCCTCACAAAGACTCATTTCAAGTTGGGAGCTCCTGAAAACTCCAAGCTAAGCCCAACCATAGGTTACTAAAAATTTAGCCACTTCCACTCTCTGTGGATGGACTCTCCTATGACATCTCAGAGCTGGCACAGCCCTGGCTCATACCATACTAAACTTCTTCACTACATCAGGATCAATGTCAAGAAAGACTCACTATTGAACAGCTTGGTTTTCCAGGGGCTGATTGAAGATATCTGGCATACTGAGTGTGTCAGAGTGTTTTTAGCTCCTGGAAGAACAGATTGGAAAGATCAGAAAAGGCTGCTGTGTTTGCCAAAACATGTGAAGTGTGAGAAGTTCAGAATCCTACCTGTGAATTTCTTCACTGAGCCTGTAACTTCCCCCTGAGCAAGAGCATAACTCTTCAAGTAATTTAGTTTCTAACTTGTATATGTAATTTCTCATACAGATACTGTGTGTGCATCTGTACACACACATTTATAATTCACTTGCATAAGTGCAAGTTGTTTTACCAAGGGTCCAAGCTTTTAGTTTCTCTGTAATATCATGGCAGGACTCCTAAGGGACATGACACTTTTGCTTTCATGCTTCATGTCACTCTCTTCAAGTGGTTCTCTGTGTAGTTTTCTAAGATAACTCTTTCTTCTAGTTATGTGAAAGTGCTCTGCCCTTGACCGACTCATTCATTTTTCTATTAAGCCTTCCCAAACCTGCTGGTGGTAGAGACTTGCCTTCAGATGCTGTGTAATCTTCATCTGTCAGAAGAATAGCTAATAAAGAAAGGACATCACAAACTCTGTTCATTAGAGATTATCTGATTTGCACAAATGTGAAATCTTGCACACCGTTCTAGCAAATGAAGTTGTTTATTTCATCTTCAGGGTATAAAGTCTTACAAGTATCTGCATGTAGCAGCTCTGACACTCCAGTACAAACTTTCCAAGAAATTCTATCTGCTGTCTGTTAACTTATGCCAGCTTTCTTTTTCACACCCGTGATGGGGTCACTTTTTTAATATGGTTTGTTTCTGGTTTTAAAGTGACAGGAAAGATCTGTACAATAGATATTTATGCAAAAAAAATAAAGAGTTTTACCAAATTCACAGCCTTCTGGTTTTGCAAAGCACAGTGTAGAACCAGACACCAAGTTTACTCATATGCCCCATTTGCAGAATTTTCATTTTGTAGGCTTTTTTCTGCACTGATCATGGCAGACGAGAAATTCTAGCAAGTCTAATCAAGTGTGATGCCACTACAGGCTGGTGAGATAGAGAGAACTTGTGCATCACAGGTTGCTCTTTTAGAGTCCTAGGTAACTTCTGTCTGGAAGACATACAAGGTCCTAATACTCTTTTTTCACCATTACATACATAGCTAAGTGAATTAAGATGTATTTGTCTGGCCCAGGTGTTTCATTGCATGTCCAGAATGGGTGTGTATACTGCATAAGTACTCTGTTGCAACTTTGAAAGACTTGTGACCCTGCCACTGTCATGGGAGTTCCCATGTAAAATTTGGGAGATATTCTTGTGTTAGCAGATATTTACACCAGTGAGTGGATAATCAAGTCTTCTGAAAATCACAATGTGCTCTTGCTCAATGGTTTTCCGGCCCTACCAATAGACTATATATGTGTTACCTACAACCTTCCAGTGGATCTTGTAGAAGACAATTATCTTTCTTTTGAGATCTGCAAGTTCTTGCCCCATCCTTTACAGAGGAACAGTAGCAAATTATGCAGCTATTTGACTTCAGTTTCCTTGTTTGACAAGAGTGTCAGCTATTCTTCCATCAGACAGGTCCCTCTTGGATATTTGTGCGTGTGTGTGTGCAGGTGTTCAAAATGGAAAAGCAGAGGAGGCATAACATATTTTAGATACTATTCTCCCTACATTAGCTTTATGCTGTATTTGCCACATAGGTCACTGAATTTCTTTTGTGCCTGTCAACCTAGTAATTGCCAGTTTCCCCATATATTGGCATGTCCTCACTTGCCTGAGCCTCAGCTTTTCTAAATTTATTAATTCTAGTTCTCTTTCTGAGCCTCTTATGTTTGGGTATCATGCTTCTCACTCCATATAGCTTCACCAATATTTCTAGCTATGATTTCCCTAGCAAAACTAAAGAGGATTAGTTGTATTTTTGATTTATCTTATATCTGCAAAATTCTTGCTCTGTATAGCTTCTTTTTTTAATTACTTCTCAACCCTTTCCTACCAAGCATGAGCTTAGTTACTTCTCCTGGTTTGCAAATCCATTTTTTGGTTCAGCTTACTCAGTGTGGTTTTCATGTAGCATTTGTTTTCATCTTTACCTGATGCATCCTCCTGGACTCGAGGACTTTGCCACTCACAGAATTTCTAAGCCAGAGGCAGTATTTTTGTGATGAGTAGCCTTTACTATTTATGTATAGAGCAATCAGTCCAATGTGATGATTTATGAATTATTAAAACACTTTTCTATAACTTGCTATGACTTGTTGAGTCCTCAGTCCTTGTGGGACTAGGAGTATGTATGGCCACTGGAGCCAACAGGGGTGAACACCGGGAGTGAAAAGGGCATTGAAAGTGGAAGAAGATCTCGTGTGAGGTGAATCCAGAAATAGAAATAACCAAACCTGTGTATTAGATGAAAGCAAACAGGATGACCAGTGGTTTTACCAACTGTAATGCATATTCACAGTGCTCTGTGGGTATTTGTTATGAGCAAATTAATACTGAGTTCAGTGACTGTGCCTGCAAGGAGGGCAGGGTTGAAAGAGAAAGGAGGAGAGCTAGTTGTGCCAGTTTTCTTTCCTTATATGATATGTTTCTGCTTGCACAATTACATGATCAAGGGCAAGAACAAATTCAGCACACTGAAGGTTTCAGAATAAGACAACTTCATTCTGCCATTTCAGATTTCTCAGATGGTGGCTGGGGGGCAACTGGTGGTCCTTAGCCCATGCAAGCAAAGAAGCGAGATCAATGGGGAAAACAAAATTATTTGCTCTTATAATTAAAAATAGTAATAAAAAGGAAATCATGACACACTAAGTGCTGCTGTTCCAAATCTTCACCTTCACCTTGACTTCAGGTTTTACGTAAAAGCAATTGATTAGCTAGCCATTGCAGTTCTTTTTTAAAATGTTTTTGAGCACTGCCATTTTGTTCCTTATTTTGGAAATGTCCTAGATTTGTCTGTCATGAACTCTGGTGGAGTTAGTTCTGCATTTTTTGCTAATGGATTAGTCTTTTATTATTCTGCCCTTACTGTTCATGCAGTTCTACTGAATGTTCATGCAGTGGAGATACAAACTGTACTTTTTACATAGGGACCAAACAGGAGTATGAAGAAAGAGTAATAAAATATCCAGAGAGGGTAGCTTTTTGCAGGCACAGAAAATGTTGTCTTGCTCCCTAGATGTAAATACTCTTTTTTTAAAGTTTGCACAAAGGATGTTTTTCCACCAATACATGACAGCTCTTTTAAGATTCTCTGGTGCTGTATGCTGCTGTTCTTCTATTACTTCCAGATACTGTGGATGCCTGTTTATGTTGCCTGTCTCTTATTTACTCTTTGATCTTTGATCACTTTCCCTTGCGGCTTATATTGTGTTATTTTGTTGTAAAAATAATCTATTTGAATTTTACTTTTTGATGCATGAAGACTGATGATTTTGTCACACTTTTTGCTGTCACTGCTTTCCTCTTTGTTTGGTAAGTTCTCTTGTGCATATTTGTGTAGCTCAGGTTGAATATCAGACTTATATCACAACAACAGATCTTTTTCATCAGAGATTGTGTTTGAATCTAACAGCTGCTATTTCATGAATATTTTTTGAACCTCATGTGAGACTTAGAGATGGTTTTATTGCATGTGGCATCCCCACCAGTGTTGTCAGTCTCACTTTTTTCCCCTACCACTATTTCCTACCTTGCTGCCACACCTGACTCTTTTGAGTCTGTCAAATATTTGTCTTCTTCAGTGATGAAACAAGAACCTAGTTCTCCTGCATGAGGTCTTACTCATCTAAGGGGAGAGAGGAAAGTATTTAGCCCTAGGCACTACCCAGGGGTACAGAGGTGCCCAAAGTGTAATCAATTTGCTATGGTGAGACGTGAATTTCGACCTTTCTTTTACCATAAGGCTTCCCCTCTTGCCTTCCCTATCAAAGTCGTCTT